AGGAACTGGCACTGGAGAGAGTAGCCAGGAACCCGTACTGCAGTGTGATAATTACTCTTGTGAGGGCTGCTGAAGGTGCTCTGGGACCCTAGGGAGGGGCACCTGGCTCAGGCTTGGAGGCCCAGCAGGGCTTTTCAGAGGGATTGCTGTCTCAGCTAAATCTAAACAGATAATGAGTGACAAGCTAGGTCTATTCTTAGGCACAGAAGTACTGTGATTGAATATCACATATATAGGCGTATTCTCACATATACACAGATAATGTTCTCTTTTAGTTTTCCTGAAACATGACCCATGTAGTTAGTCATGAGTGCAGGGAAAGATTGCCCTCTTCTAAATCAACCGTGTAAATGTGAGAAGTGGTCACTGTTTCTTGGCCTCTATATTAGTTGATTCTCATTTCTTTTTTCTTAATCTAGAATAGCCAATTACTTTTTATTGTTGAGTAACAATTTATCTTATGTATGTACCATTTGTTTATCCATTGTCTGCTGAAGGATTTCTTCTAACAGACATATAGTTGTTCCTCACTGTTGTTTTAGTTTGCATTTCCCAACTGAGTGATGATTTCCAAGTTCTTTTAGCATCTTTTTATTTACTTATTTTCTATGTATATATCTTCATTGGTAAGGTGTCTATTCAGCTCTTTTACTCATTTTTAATGGGTATTTTATTTTCTTATTGTTGAATTTTCAGAATTCTTTGAATGGTTTAGATACTGTCATTTATTAGATGTGGATTTTGCAAAGATTTGCTTTCAGTCTGTTGCCTATGATTTCGTTGTGTGAACAATGTCTTTCACAGAGAAAATTTTAAAACTTTAATAAAGACCAGTTAACCAACTTTTTTTTTAACCAATCGTGGTTTGATATTTTATCTAAATAATTGCCATACCCAAGGCCATGTGGACTTTCTTTTATATTACCTTCTATGAGTGAGTTCTTTTTAAAGAAGCTATGCTTACTACTGTATACTTGCTTCTATCTCTATTTCTCTTTTCTTTAGTTCTCAATTTTCTCATTTTCAGTTTTATTCATTTTATAAGCATCTCTTGAACATCAGATATGTTTCAACTTTTGCCTACCAATAAAGCATATAAAGCATTGACTATATGAAGTGAAATAGGTTCTGACTTTGGTTACACATTTCTTAGTATAAAGAAAATCATTCTCTATATCAGAGTTCTTTGCATCATTTATTCTCTACTGCTACTTGTTTGCTAGCATTACACTAGTGTACTTCATATACTTTGTTATTTAATCATGTTTGTTCTTTATGGTTTTGTAACTGTCATAAATTGATAACTGTAGGTTTCCGTAGTGTAGTGGTTATCACAGTCACCTCACATAAATTGGTAAATGAATTGATTCCTCTTCTCAAAAATTTCTATTTCTTGAAACTTCAGTTCTCTCAATAGTGTTAATAACTGATGGAATATTCTCTGATTTGTTTTTCAATACAGTGGTTCACATATCAAAACAAACTACTTTTTAAAAAAGCAACAGCAATAAAACAAATGCCTTTCTTTATTTGTTTTTTTTTTTTTTTTTTTTTTTGGTTTTTCTCCGGTACCGGGAACTGAACTCATGACCTTGCGCTTGCCAGGCAGGCGCTTTGCCGCTGAGCTAAATCCCCAGCCCCACATGCCTTTCTTTAAAGTACATGGGAAAGAATAGAGGATGCAGAAACAACCCTAGGCACCGTCAGCCATCTGAGCTTTGACAAAAGGGCCAAAAACATGCTGGAGGAAAGATAACCTCTTTAGAAAATTGTAGAAAACCTGCCTTTCCACATGCAGAAGATTGAATCTAGACGTATATATCTCACCATATAGTAAACCAAAATCAAAATGGATCAAAGATCTAAATGTTATAATAGAAACACTTAATCTGCTGAAACATAAAATTAGGTAAAAGTCTTGAAGATGTAAGCATAGGAAAGGACTTTCTGAACAGAATCCCAGTTGCATAAGAGCCAACAAATGGGATCATATCAAATTGAAAAGTTTCTGCACAACAAGGAAACAACCAACAGAGTAAAAAGGCAACCTACCAAATGGGGAAAAAATTTTGCCAGCTACACTTTGGACAGAGGGATAATATCTAACATATATAAAGAACTCAAAAAAGTCAGACTCCTCTAAATGAAAGGTTCAATCAAAAAATGAGCAGAGTTGGGTATGATGGCACATACCTATAATCCCAGCACTCTAGAGGCTGAGACAGGAAGATTACATGAATTTGAGGCCAGCCTGGGCTACATAGTGAGTTCAAAAACAGCCTCAACTACATAGCAAGACCCTGTCTCAAAAATAAATAAATAAATAAATAAAGAGCAATTAAAATGAATAAATATTTCTCAGAAGAAGTACAAATGGCAAATAAATATATGAAAAAATATTCAGCATCTCTGGCCATTAAAGAGGTGTAAATTAAAACAATACTAAATTACATCTTACTCCAGAAAAAAGGCTATGTGTAGTTCTTTATGGTTTTGTAGCTGTCAAAAATTGATAACTGAATTTTTTGATTCTTCTCAAAAATTTCTATTTCTTGACACTTTAGTTCTCTCAGTAGTGTTAATAACTGATAGAATGTGCTCTAATTTTTTTTTTCAGTACAGTGGTCCACATACCAAAAAAACAGTATTTTTAAGAAATTGACAAATGACAAATGCCGTCAGGGCTCTGGGGAAAAAGGAATAATTCTACATTGTTGGTAGGAATGCAAACTAGTGTAACCACTGTGGAAATTAGCATGGAGATTCCTCAGAAAACTAAACCAGAAATTCCATTTGACTCCACTTCTAGGTGTCTTCCTTAAAAGAGTTAAAAACATATTACCATGATATATTCATATCTGTGTTTATAATCAGCATGACTCATAATAGCTAAATCTTGGAAATGGCCTATATGTCCATCAACAGATGAATGGGGAAAGAAACTGGTGTATATACACGGGGGATGTTATGATTTGTGCCTAGATGTTTCCCCCGTTCCCCAAAGCCTTATGCAGTCTTAGGTTTTTTCAGAGGTGGTTGAATCTAGAGTGTGTGGTGCTGGGATTAAGGGTGTGTGATTGCTAAATCAATCCACTGATTGGTTTGGTATCTCCCTAATCCCAGAAGTCTAGATAAAATATAAATGGGGCAGAAAGATGCTGTTAAGGTCTCTTGTTACTTTTACTATCTAATGCCACCATGAATGTTGCACCTCTGCCACGTGCAACCCTGCCTTGGAGCCAGCCAGTTATGCACTCTACAAACTGTGAGCCTCTACAAACTGTGAGCAGAAATAAACCTTTCCTCCTTTTAACTCTGGGCATCAGGTATTTTGTCTCATCAATGAGAGGAAAGTAAGACGGTGCACTACTACTCTGCCATAAAGAATTATAAATTTGAGTCATTTGTAGGAAAATGGATGCACCTTGAGATAATAATGTTAAGTGAAACAAATCAAATACACAAATATCATGTGGTTCCTCTTATATGAGAAACCCAAGTATACATAAAGTAAAGAAACAACAGATAATGATAAATAGGGAGGTGGATCTTTTGCAAAAGGGAAGGGGAACAAGAGATGGAAAGAAAGGAGGGGGATATAAAGAAAATTAAGATGTGTTATGTGTGTGTATCAGCTCCCCATGGTGAATGTAATCATTATGTACTACAAATGTACTAATAAAAATTTAAAAATTTTAAAAGCATAGGAGAAAATGTGTGTGAGGGTTGCCTTAATTTTTGAAGTAAAGCTAGTCTTTTTGCAGTAAAGCAATAAAATAATTTAATTTTTATTCTAAGGTAATATTTATGTTCAGAGTTTTTACTTTTGCAGCGTATCCTAGCCAAAAAACTCATTATCTCAGAAATGTGGGCTTTTGCAGAGGTTGTAGTTTCAGACAATAACATCCAAATTTATTGCTTCCACATTACATGTTTTAGGAGAAGCTTATTTCTTTTTTTTTAGAAGCATCACATATTTAATGTCAAAAAGTTCAAATTCAAGTACAAAAATTAACACATGATTTCAACATTAAAAACCATTAACACTTCTTATTCAAATATAGTGAATATGAAAAACACAAATGAAGCATAACTATAAAATCCTTAAATATATAACAGCAAAATTAGAATTTATTTCTATAAAAAGTAATTATTAACTAAAGTATTTATAGCTATTTTCAAGGAACCATACAGAGAATCTTATTTCTAAATCATACTCTTGTGTTTTTTGGGATTAAAGGGCAGGGCCTATTGAATCCTTGATTTTAGATAACATTTCCACCAGTTTGCCTCTTTTTTCTCTTTTCTTCTTTATTTCTTAAAATATATTTGTGGTACATAATATATACATTCATTTTGGGTAATTGGTACATATACATACTGCATCTTAATCATTTTTACTTCCAGTTCCCCTCTTCATTCTCTGCTTCCCCTAAATTTCAGATTTTCTTTTATTTTAGGTCTAAAGTTCCTTTCTTCTCTCTCTTCTGCCTTCTCTCCTTTCTCCTTTCTACCTAAAAATATTTTCTTTTCTCTCTGATTGAATTTGAAATTTTATATAGTTTAATTTATTTTTTACTTGGCAACTTTAACTTTATAAATCTAGATGTGACTTTCTGATCACACTCATGTCCAATATTTATATTTTGTATTTCATTTTCATGTTTCACACAGACATCCATATTTTCCACATTGAATATCATCTCACAGTCCCCTAGGGGAATTGCTTTTAGGTGGCTCCAAAAGATGGTACTGGAATGACCTTAGATTACTGGTGGGTATCCATTCTGCTTCTGTGACAACTTAAGAGTCTTGTTATCTTTCTGGTACCATTTTAAAATTGTTACTAGGGTTTGAAGGAATGGTTGAGAGTATAAGTTTTATTATAAAATGTTTTATAAGTAATATTTTATAACTGGCACATATACATACACATGACTTGAATATATTGATTGCTTTAATCTATATGACTTTCTTCCATCTTTTTTTTCTCTCAACAGACATCAGAGAAGAAAGGAAAAGAAGCAAAAAGTGGTTTTGGTGGACCAGTTGTTAGTTCTCTGTATCATGAAGAAACTATCAGGTAATTTTTTTTTCTGATCTTTGGTAATAGGAATGTACATATGTAAAACTATATGTGTTTTTTAAAATTTTAGAATCTTCAGTTTGTGGCACACTTTTGTTAATATGAAACTGATTTGATGTTATCTTTAGTAAAATGATAAATGACAGGAAAGAATTTTGTAGGTGTATAATCTATAAAATCAATGAATATCTGAACCAGTGTCAAAGTGTCTGAACAAGTGAAAATATAATCTCTTATCACTTTTTATCAGGGTCAGAATCAGAGCCTTTCCCACATAGAAGTAGTTGATAGAGCAAAGTTTTGTGTGTCAATCTAAAGCTATGAATTTTTGTTGTTAACTTTTCACCAAATACCACTACTTCTTTTAAAGATTTTAATAATTTATGTCCCCTAATTGAAAGTCATCTAAGTTTGGGGCTTGGAATGTAGCTCAGTGATTCAGTACTTGCTTACCATGTGGGTTGCCCTCAATTTAATCCCTCATATTGAAAAATAAGAAAAGAAAACAGAAAGTCATTTAAATTTAATTGCTTCTTAATTAAAAGCCAAAAGGTGCAAAGTGTCAAAAGGTGCAGTCACTATGGAAAACAGTGTTGATGTTCCTCAAAAGATAAAAAGTAGAACTACCATCTGATCCAGCAATTCAACTTCTGGGTCTGTATCCAAGAGAAGTGACATCAGGATCTCAAATATGAATTTGCATGCCTGTGTTCATTGTAGCACTAATTGCTGTAGTCAAAAGTAGGAAGCAACCAAAATTTCTTTGATGGGTGAATCGATAAAATAGGATATGTATATATAAAGTACAATATTATTCAACCTTCAGGAAGTTTTGACACATGCTACAATATAAACCTTGAGGACATTGTGCTAAGTAAAATAAGCCAGTCACAAAAAGACAAATAGCGTATAGTAACACTTAAATGAGGTATTTAAACCATTAAAATTCATAAAACTGAAAAGTAGAATATTCTTTGCTAGGAGAAAGGGAAGTAGGAAGTTTTTTAATCAAGCAGTTTTAGTTTTTCAAGGTGAAAGAGTTCTGGAGATTGGTTGCACAGCATAAATGTACTTCATATAATTGAACTGTATACTTACAGATGGTTAAGGTTGTAAACTTTGTTATATTTTATTATTTTAATTACAATTTTAAAAAATTAAAGATATATTATTTAACAAAGCTTTATTTTTTGTGCTATATACAGAATTTCTTCAATAATCTCTTTTTCTAATAATCTTTTTTTCTTAGCACTGTGTGTATAAACCAGAAAAAGGATTTTATGCTACTTTAATGAAGGAGTCATGTGACACATTCTTTTAAGACTGTTACTCTACAAACTAAATGCGGATCTTTAGTGGTTTTATCCTTCTTGAGTTATCTGAATGCTGCTTTATTTATTAATTTACATGAAGTATTTCAAGGTGAAAATTGACTTGACATAAATTAATTGAAAATACCTTTTTTAGAATGAAGAGGGAATTGTACCAAAAATTCATGCCTTGCTCTTACAGAAAAGAATTTGTTAGCCACATATGGTGATGCAAGCCTATAATCCCAGCACTTGGGAGGCTGAGGTAGGATCACTGTGAGTTTGAGGCCAGCCTGCAGTACATAGTGAGACCCTGTCTCAAAACAAACGAAGCAAAAAACAAAAAAAAGAATTTGTTAACAGTATCCCACATAAAGACATCCTGTTATGCACTCCCAGGTGGTATTATAAAAGGAAAGTTATTAGTACTTATATAAATCAAAAGTTTGAATCATTCATAGTTTCTAGTTGTTGTCCATGCAGTTAATGCTCAGGGACCTGTTTTGATCTTATGTGCATAGCATTCACACCATTTTACTTAGATTACATGTTTTATGGGGATGAAATAGGGGAAACTAATAGATATTTGGGAAAATAAAGGTATTATTTGGGGTTCCTACTGGCCTGGAGTACATTTGCCACCCCATTCCTGTGATAGACCTGAGAACCCTAAGAAATCATAGTTTAAAAGGCATTTTCAAAATCCTCAATCCTTGCTATGTTAAATATTTGGGTTGCTGGCAAGTATATTCTGTGTTTAGTATCTTCTAAAATATGGCATCTTAGAACCATAACCCTACCAAGCAAATGTTCAAATTGAGTCAGGAAACCTGAAAAGTCATTTTTCTAGGCAATAGGAAAGGGGGTAGTCATGTCTTCTGTTTTCCTGTAGTCTTTTTTTTCCCCTCATATTAGCATTTTAATTTCATAAAAATTGGGCTTCACTGTATGTATTTTGATCATATCCATCCTGCTATAACCTTTCCTTCCATTCCCCTCCCCTTCTAAGTCTCTCCCACTTTTCTTTTCTTTTTTTTGGTACCAGGAATCTAACTCAGGACCCTGCACTTGCCAGGCAGGCCCTTGTGCGGCTGAGCTATATCTCGGCCCCTCCCTTCTCCTATAATCTTTTGATTACATTTCTGCTACACCGTTTATCACATTATTCCATAATGAATTATAATTTTTAAAAAGCTTATCCTTCCCACTAAGCTTTTAATTAGTGATAGGATTATGTTTTACTCATTTCTGTATTCTCACTATCTGAAGAAGGTCTCAGAACTTAGTAGGTGTCAAATAAGTCCCCTGACTTGGGTGGTATCCATGGCTGCTTTCTTCAAGCAACTAATAGTTAAGTGACTATAGCTTAAGTAAAATTAGCCTCAAGGCTGCCACAAAAGAGGTTGCTTGTTTGGTTTTCCAGTGATAGACAGTCCTCACCTCTTTCCCTAAGCAATCAAAAAAGTTATAGGCTATTTCTTTTTTGATAGTTTCTTGCCTTTCTTTTTAAAAAAGAACACTAAGCTTAATTTTCTTTTTTTTTTTATTTGTTATGGTTGATACATTGTGTCAACTTGGGGAGTCTAGAGGTTTGGCTAAGTGACTCAACAGTTCTGCATCTTGGGTAAAAAGGACCTGCATTTACCCTTCTGGGATGTTGTTTATTGTGTTAATTTGAAAAGTTTAAAAGGTTAACTATATAACTCAAAAAGGGTCCAGGGTGCTTACTTTACATTCATCCTGACCCTGTGCAAGAGGCAGGCATACAGAGGATGTGGGTGTAGAGGACGACCCCTACCTCCTCCCCAGAGCGGGTAGACTGCATAAAAAAAAGAATTTAAAAAAGGACCGGCTGCTGGTTCTTCAGAGGAACTCCAGTCTTCCCCTTTAGCTTGGTTGTCTCCTGGCTTCTGGTGCAGACTGTTGGGCTTCCATCTGGGACTCTTCAGCCTTTTGGTGTTGGCTCTCCAGCCTTCATCATAGATTCTTCAACATTCCGTCGCAGACCCATCAGCCTTTTGATACAGGCTTACATGGACACTGCAGTGAGCTCCAGGCCCGGGGCTGGGCTCTTCAGTCTCCAGCGTGCAGACACCCTCTGCATGCTTCCTCATCCAACTCTGTAGCTGACCATTATAAGCCAAACTTATAATTTCATATACATTTGTTTATCTTATATTATATCTGTTCCCCTAGTAA